TTCATTTCTTTGGTCCGTCCGATACTAGAGTACGGTTAATGTGTCTGGAGTCCCCAATATGGAGTACATAAGGACCGCATAGAATCCGTACAAAAGAACTTTTTAATATTTGCACTTAGAGGTCTATACTGGGATGCAAATCTTCAGCTTCCATCCTACAGTAGCAGACTTTTACTTATTAACTTACCTAGCTTAACAAATCGTAGGACAATGCTCGGTGTAGTTTTTCTGCATAACCTTATTAACGGGGATGTAGATAGCCAGCATTTACTAACACGCTTAAATTTCAACATTCCTAATAGAAGGACTCGAAACTTTAGTCCTCTGTTCCTTAGCCGTTGTAGTTCGACATATGCACTGCATGACCCTTTTAGGGTATTATGTTCGAACTACAATGGTCTCTACTCTATTACATCTCTTTCCTGTCCCTCTAATTTAAAATATAGAATTTTAAATTTCCTTACTAACTCCTCTTAGCTTAATAATTAACAAATAACTTAATATACTCTAACTAATCGTTTCTTGAGCGCTCCTCGGTCGTCTGGGCCTCTAAGCTTTATGATGAATACAGGAATGCTAGCTGATGCTCTTATTGATGCACAAGCCATTTCCAAATTCTGAAAGACCGCGAAAAAAAAAAAAAAAAAATGGCCCGAGATATGTGAACACTTGCTTTTGTAAAAGATCGGGTAATTTCACCTACGAGCTAGAGGTCATGCAAGAAAGAGCGGTAGGTACTTATCATGCTAAGGATTTAGGTAGCAGGAGTAGTAAGTTAGCTTAACAGGATCCTGGGATCCTGGGACCCTGTTCTTGTTCTTGAGAAGGGGGCATTTTGCGTAACGTCGGCGATAGATCAGCGTAGGTGGAAACCCGGGAGTGGGCCATAATAGGACCATAGCAGGGCGTTAGATGTTGCTGGGTTTGGTTATCTGGCAACCAGTAAAAAGCTGGAGCTTTGTTTGACTTTCTCAATCCTTGAGGCAGACATCAGGGAAAGAGATCTCTCTTTTGCCCATGGTGTGTACCGAGTTATACAGCAGGACTTTATGTTCAAGGCTAACTGGAGACCAAGCGCTAATAAGCCAATGAAGGCTGCTGGCGCATCTGCCCATGTGTCGGGCATTTTGAGCGGCTTAGAATAGCTGTATCATCAGAAAACGTAGATGTTGTGAGTCGGGATGTCCGCTGTATAAAGGATACACAATGTTGGCCCCAGCACGCTACTTTCAGAAACTCCAGCTCCAAATCATCAGTTATAGCAGTGTTCGACCTCACAGCAAATTTTCTATCGTAAAGTTAAGGCTCTAAAGCAGTGGTCGGCACACACACACACAGTAGAAATGTGTAAAACGTCATGCTCACAGCCTAATTTCTGCTATTCGTTTCTAACACTTTTGCGTTAAAATCATATCACTGTATTGGGGTGCCGACCACTGCTCTAAATCAGTGGGGCAAAACGGACACATGTTTAAAATTTGAGTGTATGCGTAGCAGAAAAAACAATGAGAGCAGAGCATTTACTAAGCGAAAAATACGTAGTTCTTTATATCATTTTTCGTTTATTCAAAAGTTTGAATGGGCACCTAATAGTTTATTTTATTTTAGAGAAAGCTTTTCTAGCAACAGTTCTTAAACAAGTGAAAAATACGCTTCCCAATCTATATTTTCCTATGGAGAAAATTTTTCTCAATGGAAACATTTTGATTTTAAGTTTGGAGGTGTCAAATGAGGCAAAATGGGAGAAAATGAGAGAGCTTTTAAAAAAATTTGAGAGTGCTCACCCTGTCAGTGGACCGGCAGCGCTGCGGGAGAATTTCCGACCCTATGCACGTGTGCAATGGAAATTGTGAGTTTGCCCCCCACTGCTTTAAAGTCTTGTGGGTGTTGTAGGGTATCATTGTCTTGATCTTGTACATTAGAACTTTTAGCCCGACTCAAATCAAATGCTTGATTTTTTTTTTCAATAGGTAGGTTTCAAGTAGGTTTATAGGTCTTTTCCCGGCTTTGCTATCATTATTAAAATTCACTTTTTCCATCTCATTGGAAAGTTCCCAAGTTTTGCAATGCCATTGAAAAGCTAGTTTATAGTGCAAAATATTGGAGCTCAATGGATATTTTGGTGCTTATGAGACGCAGCCCGGGGATTTTTTCAGATTCAGTTGAATTTTGATGCTGATAATGATTTCATTTGGGGGAAACTCAATTGGCTCAAGTTGAAGCTTAGGGTCATAAGGTAAAGTCGGCAAAGTATACGCCCTAGTGGCAGGACTTGGTTAAAAGACATTTTTAAAGTGGTTGGTAAAAATGGTGGCTCTGTGTGCGTCGCTTTGCGCCCATTTGCCTGTGAGATTTCAAATAGGCATCACGGTTTCTTTCGTTGACCTCTTCTTTCGGTTTTTTTAGGACGAGCTGTTTGATTTGTATACTTGTCTTCTTTTGGTTGCGTCGTGTATTTATAGTTTGGGGTGTTAAAGCTCGAGCTGCAGAGTTGAGTACAGACTCCAAAGAATTAACAAAGCTGTCTACGTTAGATGGATAGTTGAGATGAGGACTTAGCTCAATGTGCCAGCTAATATAATTTCTGTGATCAGATCAGACGTATGATGCAATTAGCGCTTATCAGACTTTTAGGAATGTTTTTGTTAATCGAAAAGTTCATTAAGCGGTTGCTTGTACTTCATATCTTGGCACTCTTCTTCGTCGGATTCTCGATCAACATGGACAAGCTGGAGCTTTTGTGACGAACGGACGATGGAGCGCATGACCAACTTAAGGAGCTGCAAGAGGTTACTCATACATCAGCCCATATGGAGAGTAGTCTTTTGCGTTTGCTGAATGGTGAGAATAAATTACGCACTGAGTTTGGCGTCGTCCAAGATGAGCTGAAGAAGTTCTTTTAATTTTTAATGTTGCAGTATACTTGGCAATTGTTCGCCATTACTGGAGACGATTTTTTCGCCGTCAGGAAGATAAACAATCTGCGCTGACCGATGCTGATGCTGCAGCTCCTGCTACTTCCAAGCCCGTCATCTCTGTTCTGCCGTCGCCTCTGCCAAGCTCTTGCGTTGGAATCGTCGACCCTTTTTTTCCGTTTTTTCGCTTGGATGATAAGTACGTATGGTTGATGTCACTCCGCATGGATCTTGGCTAGCTGTAGCCGAGCCTATCTTAGGAGATCCTTACCTGACCCTGGAGGTACGGAACCGTCGACGCAGAATTGACGGATCGCGCAATCGAAAACATTTCCTGTTCCTGCACGGATTCACTCGATGAGAGCTACCTATATAATAGATGCCTATGCCTATAGAACATGAAAATCTTTATGCTGCTTCCCCCATGCCCAAAAGATTTTCTGTTTAAAGTTGGGGCTTCAACGGAGGGAGAATGTTTTGTCATTGGTCGCTTATCCGAAATTGTACAGATTTATCATTTTATTCATTTCAATAATCTGATCGGCTTGCGCATCTCTTAATGCTTCAGTCTTATCTGTCCAGGTCATTATCGCGGTATCCATTTGTCTCCTGTTCGACCTTTGCGCTTTTCACCCGGCCTTGTTTTGGGCCTTGGCGGCTTTGGGCGTACTTCTCATATGCAAGAATAAGCTCATGGTCACTATATTTCTTTTGTCCATGGTGTGCGACCCCTTTATACAAATGCATTAGCCCCCGGGACCAGGAGTCTGCACTTGTCATTAGCGCCCCGCGACGATCGCACCACCACCGTCGACCCCCCGCTTCGCTCCCTATATATATCCAAAACAAAGCAATATAATTTAATCGGTTTGATTATTGAACCTAGTAACGCTCGATAACTCAACTTGTCGATAAACTCAACTCGGTAACTAAAATGGTTCTCAAGATGTCGAAGGGTATTGCGAAACAGCAAAAGTTGACTGCAGTTTGGCTTTAAAGCAATCAGCCCACTTTAACCATCTCGCAAAACGATCGACATCACCACCGTTAGAAGAAGTCGCTGCAAATATAGGTAATTTTAAGTTAACTTTAAAGGTTTCATTTTGTTTATTTGATTCAAAATTTAATAAAGAAGCAAAAACAAACAATAAAAATAAAATATATGATTTATAAATTTAAAAAAAAAAAACGAAATCTTAAAATGCAAAGTAAAGTTTTAAGTTTTTAATTTAAAGTTTTAAAAAATGGTTATTTTTTAGGAAAACATTTATGTGAATATATAACTATAAAACTTGGCACATTTATTAATTGATAGTAATATAAATTTATTTATTATATTTATTTATTTTAATTGTATTATAATATAAAATGTTTATTCACACATCATTACATTGACGCATGCTCAATAACACATTAATCAAGACAGAAAAGGCAACTTTGAGTGGAACCGGAAATTTGTACACCCTTCCTGCCCAATGGATGGAATTTTCGTCGTAAAATAAGTGTAGGATCAAACTAGTAACTAGTATCAAACACTAGTATCAAGCAACGGTACGTAGCGTAAGTATATATAAAATGAATAAATAATAAATAAATAATAAATAAATAAATAAATAAATAAATAAATAAATAAATAAATAATAAATAATAAATAATAAATAATAAATAATAAATAATAAATAATAAATAATAAATAATAAATAATAAATAATAAATAATAAATAATAAATAATAAATAATAAATAATAAATAATAAATAATAAATAATAAATAATAAATAATAAATAATAAATAATAAATAATAAATAATAAATAATAAATAATAAATAATAAATAATAAATAATAAATAATAAATAATAAATAATAAATAATAAATAATAAATAATAAATAATAAATAATAAATAATAAATAATAAATAATAAATAATAAATAATAAATAATAAATAATAAATAATAAATAATAAATAATAAATAATAAATAATAAATAATAAATAATATGGAAAAATTTATGAAAATATGGAAAAATTTAAATATCTTTGGTAAGGGTATAAAAAGCTACCGCTACTAAATGGCTTCTGTTCAGTACAAAAAAAATTCAAATCTAATTAACAGTAATATCTGTTGGTGGTTGAAGTTTAATAAAGAAACAAACTTAAATTTGTAGTCTAATAGAATGGAAAAATTGCATGAATATCAAGGCATAGCAGGTCGTTTACATCAATGGAGGGACAGCTTTAAAGAAACTTATAATAAGTTTAATGAGGATTATTTGAACAATTTTACGGAACAAATTCGAAGCACAGTCAGCAGTCAACTTAAAGGAAACGCTAAAGCTGGAAGTGACTTTTCTCATATATATAGGTAAGTCCTAACATTTCCTGTTTTTAAATGAATACCTAAAATATTGATAAAAAAAGTTTTTCATTTTCTCATTGAATATTTATTTCTTATTGATTTTTAAATTCAATAAAGGCCAAATTCTGAATATGAGACGATATTAGGGAAAATAAAGTTGAGAAGCAGACCTTGAGAAGCAAGCCTGCCGTATGAGATCTAATTTAACTTTAGAGCTAATAGTAATAGTAGTATTGTAAGCTCTATCATGCAACGCATTTCTAAATCCATCCGATCTTCTAAGTAACCACGTTTATCCATCATTTTATCTTCTTATATATATACAAATTTTATATTTTGTTACTGTATTTAAAGTCTTTTTTTAGGTTAGAGTTTGTTTTAATCCAATTCAGTCTAATGCACAAAGTGCTCTTTGGGCTTCAGAACAACCACATAGCAAAACGATAACTATAATGTTTACAATCCAACAAATGATGGAGTATGATGGAGTTAATGTCATTTATAAGACCATGCAAACACTCGCTTAAAACCAAAACATAGTAATACGGTTTCTCGTAGCACAACAGTCTAAATTTTACACTCTAAAACATCTATGCTGACTCTAGGAATATCAATGTGAAACCCCAATGCTGTCTCACGGCATAAACTAGAATTGTCAAAATTCCATCACGAAAACCATATGACGTTATGCTACTGGACGCATAGACGCATAAAACATCATTTTCACAAAAGGTTTGTAAAAAACTTTTTGCAGGCCACATCGATACAAAATTTAGTCAAGTTACGGAAGGGTTTCAATAAGACATCTACAAGAGTGTCAAAAAACACACATTCAAATGTAGAAAGCTCAAAATGAGTTAAGTGAATTTGAAAGCAAAGCCAACCCGGTGTGAGAGATTCGGTTCACTTACTCTTACTCATTTGCACAACTAATAGGAAAAAGGAAACGAATTGAATAAATTGAGAATGTTGAAAACAGAGACGTTTCATTCGAATGATTCGAGTTGCTAATGTTTAAGTTTTAATTTAATTATTTCTATATTAACAATAATTTACAACTCATTTACATTTAAAGAACAATACATATTCAAGAAAACGGGGACGGAGCAACTTGCCGAAAACACAGTCCCTTAGCAGCAGTCACTTAATAGCTAACCAAACAACGGCAGCCAACGAGTGACCCACCGGAGCTGGTAAACTGTCTTTTCAACCAGCTGCCATCTGTGACAGTCCCTTAACAACTTGTGAAGGATTCTTGCAGAGGCGGAATAAGCAAAAGCCGCCTTGCATTTAATAATAAACTAATTTACACACAACCTAAAAACAAAACTTAGAAAAACCAGGTCTACAAATACATACAGATTCGTCGGCTTCTTTTTCTATTTGGTTTTTCATATTATCGTTTTTGTTCCGGAGTTGTCAAAAAAGGAATGTATTGAAATCCTATCCAACAACTCGAATGATTCAAGTATACAAGGTAATTGTCAAATCTTTCATTTTACTTTTAGTTTCGTTCATTCTCTTTCATTTAGTTTGACCTGTCAAATTATGAGAGGAACACAAGCTTGTACTCATTCAATGACATTTCATTTCTAACATTTCTTTCACTTCATTCTATTCAATTCGAAAGTATTCTTTGAGACTTATGTTATGAATTTAATCATACAGATGCCTAGTTTCAATCGCCGCCGTTTACTGCCCTCCTCGCTTTTTAATATCGGAAGGGTAATTAGTGGACTTCTACAATTCACTTGGGGATCGTTTTTAAGCCGTAGGAGACTACAATGCAAAACGTACACTGGGGATCACGTCTAGTAACTCACACAGGAAGGCAAATAAACTGGACATTGTTTCCCCTGGAAGCCCCTCATACGAAAGTTCCCAGACCTTGTAGATTTTGCGGTGACAAAAAACATATCTCGCAATATAATAAATGCCAAAGCAGTCTTGTTAGTGCTTGTCAACTTACATAGTAGGAAGCTTGCAATATTATCCGGGCCCACCAATTTGTCTTCCGAAAAAACCATGGGACATGCCTGATGTGAACAGAACAGAGTAGGTAGACGGCTTCAATGACAATCCGCTCCAAAATAAAAGTCGAATTAATTAATTGCACGTTATAAGTTATTGATTCTGCAGGAAGATGAAACTGGATGATCAAATTATGATAGACCATGCTCTCGATAGCGAAAAGGGCGGCCCGGGCCAAAAACCGGGCCAAAAGAATGTGCTAAGATGGTAGAATCATCTGAAACACATGGGATAAAAAAAATTAGTTCTTTAGAAGTATATCTCCCAGCCAACGTTGCCCTTTTAAAAGAACATTTTTTTCATTTTTTTCAACGGTCGGTGAAAATTGTGGCTATAAAATCGAATAGAAGCAAAAAACAAGAAAGGAAAGCTAACTTCGGGCGGAGCCGAAGTTGATATACCCTTGCAGTTAAAACCGGATATATATCGCAAACATCGGATATAGTTGGCCGATCCTTATGATTACATCATAATAAAACCAATTAACTAAAATAAAAAATCTAAAAAAATGTCCCAAGCTTCTATCTTCAAAAACACAAAAGTTGATATTTCTACCAAATACCATTTCCCATCGTTCAGTTATATGGCAGCTATAGGATATAGTCGGCCGATCCTAATGAAATTCGGTAGGATGGATCAACTGGCCAAAAATAGAATCTGTATTAAGTTTCAGCTTTCTATCTTCAAAAACACGAAAGTAATTTTCGATCGTTCAGTTATATGGCAGCTATAAGATATAGTCGGCCGATCCTTATGAAATTTGGCATGTCGTAATGTTTTGCCAAAAATAGCTTTCCTGTAAAATTTGAACTCTCTTACTCTAAAAACATCAAAGTTATACCATTTCCGATCAATCAGTTATATGGCAGCTATAGGATATAGTCGGGTGATCCGGGCCGTTCCGACTTATATACTGCGTACAAAGGAAAGAAGGGTGTGTGCAAAGTTTCAAGACGATAGCTTCAAAACTGAGAGACTAGTTCGCGTAGAAACAGACAGACAGACGGACAGACAGACGGACAGACAGACGGACAGACGGACATGCTCATATCAACTCAGGAGGTGATCCTGATCAAGAATATATATACTTTATAGGGTCGGAGATGTCTCCTTCACTGCGTTGCACACTTTTGGACAAAATTATAATACCCTCTGCAAGGGTATAATAAATAAAATGGGACCGTTGGCTGGGAGTCAATTCTATGTTGCACAAGTGTGCAAAATTTCAATACAATCGGTGCATAACTTTTTGAGTTATCGTAGACACAGTTTTCGAAAGGGCTCGGTGTTTGACGCCATATCTCAGTCAGTTCAACTCCGAATCATGATAAAATTATACAAAGACTGAAGAGCACTTCCGAATCGTGTCCAAATATCTGGACAATGCTCAGAAAAACTATTACACGTACCAGCTGAAAATCAACAAGGGACTTCAAGTGGTAGTAAAGGGGATCAAACCCGATGTTAAGCCGCCGTGGAAATAAAAACCGCCCTTAAAGAAAAGGGTTTCCCCACCCAGAATGTTATTAACATTCTAAATAAAGATAAAAAGCCACACTCCTCCACAAAGTCGAGCTCGAGCCCGAAAGCAGGTCGCCGATCTTTTGCGTCGGAGAATCACTGTGGAAGAGTCACATTAAGGCAACGGTCTAGTGCAATACACATACTCTTGGCACATACCTACTTTGGACCGGAGTATGGACACATACTCTTGGCACATACTTTGGACCGCCTGTGTAGTCTGCGGGGATGCCCACAGCTCCACTTACTGTACCACAAACAAGGACAGTACCGTGAAGAAATGTGGAAACTGCGGAGGCAATCATACAGGAGACACTCAAAACCAAATATCGTAATACAGCTGCTCGTAGCACAACAGTCTAAATAATCTATGCAGGCGCTACGAATATCAATGTGGAACGCCAATGGTGTTTTACGGTATAAACTAGAAATGTCACAATTCTTGAACAAAAACCATATTGACGTTATGCTATTGGTGAAAACGCATCTTACAAGCAAATACAACTTTCTAATAAGAGGCTATGCAATCTACTGCACAGATAATACGGATGGGAAAGCCCACGCCGGAAGCGGAGTTCTAATCAAAGAACTGTTGGCAACAAACTTTCTGTAGGCCACATTGATTGAAATTCAGTCAAGTAATGGAAGCATTTCAATCGCTGCCGTTTACTGCCCTCCTCGCTTCTTAATCTCAGGAGGGTAATTAGTGGACATCTACAATTCAATTGGGGATCGTTTTATAGCTGCAGGAGACTAGGGACTTCCAAAGGAAGGCAATTGTATAATGAAATTATGCAATCGTTCCCCTGGCAGTCCCACATACTGGCCAACAGACCATCGCAAGCTCCCAGACCTTATTGACTTTGCGGTAACAAAAAACATACCTCGCAATCCGATAAGTGCCAAAGCAGTCTCGGACTTATCATCAGACCACTCGTCTGTTATATTAACGCTCCTTCAAAGCTCAGAAATAACCAACACCCCTCTAACAAAGAAACGTACTCGGCCCGAGTCTATATGTTTTGTATACTGCGGATATACCTACAAACGAACATTTAACAACGTCAACGTTCGCCGACGATACCGCTATCTTTAGTCGCTCCAAGCAATAAACTAACTCGTTAATCATCTCATAGCAGTGGGAAGGTGGCTGTCCGACTGGCGCATTAAAATAAATGAACAAAAGTGTAAACATGTAACATTTGCTCTTAATAGACAAACATGCCCTCCGCTTTCACTAAAAGATATGCAGATACCTGAAGCTAACAAAGTAACGTAGCCTGGCGTCCACCTTGATAGACGACTAACCAGGCGTAAGCACATCGTATGTAAGAAAATGAATCCAAAACGGAAAGCCAGCAGCCTCCAGTGGATCATAAACTCACGATCGCCACTGTGCTTGGACTACAAGTTACTACTATCCATTTCAATTTGAAAGTCAACCTGGACCCAGC